GATCATTTGTACTGACCAGATACATACTGGTGTTCACGCTATTCGTTATCGGGAACTGCTTCCACATGGATACTGCAGTGACATCAGAATGCTGAACTTTGTAGTTCCTCGACTCCCAAGGGCGGTTGACATCGATTGGTGTGATCATAGGGGGAGGGACTGTCTGGACAAACCCCAGCTGCCGCAGAAACCGCGCAGCAAAGTACGGCTCAACGATATCGCGGTACCGAATCAACCCGCAGTAAAGAGTCCTCGACTCTATCTCATGAGGTATAGTCGAGCCGTATGGCAACCATTGCACCTGTTGAAAAATGCATAAAAATATTTAATAAATTATTTATATTATTTTAAATAGAGATTAACTCAATTTAAATAAAAATAAGTTAACGTACATCTTTGGCAGTGAGTACGTTAAGTCTCCGACGGATGGCCTCGAGGCGATCGTCCTTCATCTGAACCTGAGGTGGGCTCCACATCTGAGCTCGTGCAGCCACGTTAGGACCGAGTGGTAGACGCCCCCCCTGGGGGCGGAAATCAGGAAAATACTCGTAAATCCAAGACTGCAAAAGAGTCAAGCAGCCAGATAACTGGCGTGAGTCCCCTCTACTGGCAATACCTAACTGTCTTTACAAGTATGCCAACGTAGCCGATCCCCATGAGTAATCGCCAATGGAATCCACTCCTTCGAGCACCTCAGCTAGGAGTCTCGGATTCACTCTACTACCACTCTTGTCGCAGAACAACGTGGTAGACAGCAACACTCAAATCCAGGCACCAGCCTCATCCAACGCCAACTGGTCTTTAGCTCTGAATTTCTCCATAACAGCGCCTTCTACCACAGTACTGCGCTGCCAGAAGTCAGCAGCGAGGTCAGCCTTGCTGACCGAAAGTATATCCCTGCAATAAGCCTGGCAGGTCTCTGAATCTGGCTCCTCAACAACCATGGACCCTCCAACAGGAATGTCCAAAATTGCCCCGACATCGTGTAGCATAATGCTCATTTCACTAAAAGGTGGGTGAAACGAGTTAGTATCCGACTGCCATCGCTCCACAAATGCAGTCAGCAGTGGAGTGTCTAAGTGGGTGTGCATGGAGTCTGCCAGATGTGACAGTCCGGTATCCTGGATCAGATCTAGTGCCTCAGAAGACATCACCTCGCCAATCTCTGAGATTACCAACCGCTTGCACTCTGTTATGGCATTTCAGTATGCCTCGGCTCTCCCCATTCCACAACCGGGAGGCTACGTGCCCTAGAAAGCTAGGGATCACACTGCCATCAATGGGCCCATCGGCCACTGGACCTCTAACGATCCAGTCTGGCTCAGTCCTAGATCGTTTGCTAGTCCCTGCATTAGAATATAACATAACGTCACTAACAGTACCGATAACTTGTTATAATT